GGGGTGGTGGTGGCGGTGAATTGAGCTGGGTCCCCACCCTGCACCCAACCCAGGACTGTGGGGCTGCCATGGGTGTATCTCCAGTACCTGCACTGCTCCGGGGAGCTCCAAGACCTGCATGGGGGCAGCCTGCCCAGCCCCAGCCTCCAGCCAAGGCTAGCCTGGGGCCTGAGGCCTGCACCCTCCACCTGTGGCCAGAGGCTCCCCAACCCCTTGGGCAAGAAAGATGCTGACCCCCTCACTCACCCCTGTACGTACACACACACACACACACACACACACACATGCTCTGACCTGAGCATGCTCTGACCTCTCGCAACCCCCCCCCGGCTTATTTCTAGTGCGTATGCGCCCCCCTGCCTCCTCAGGCCTTGGCCCCGCATGGTGCCAGTGCTGCTTCTGGGCAGGAGCAGCCCATGTCCAGCTGGGCCTGGCATGATGCTGGAGCTCTGCAGCCCCCTCCACAGCTGTGCCAGCCATGCTCTAGGCTGGCACCCACCTGTGCCTTGCCACCCTGCTGGCATCTACTATCCAGAGTGCCCAGCCCCACCTCCCTCACTGCAGCTAAGCATCCAGGGCCCCATAGGCCTGCACCAGGATGAGGGCCCAGCAGCTGGCAGCTGGCGTCTCTGGGTAGGGCACAGCAGGGCCGGAGCCTGGTGCTTGTCCTGCTCCCCCCGCATCCAGCTGTGTCCACACTCCGCAGCCAGTGCCTGTTGCAACATGCTCCAGGTGGGTTTGGCCATTGGTTGGGGTGGGGGGGGGAAGAGGTGGGGGTCCCTTCTCCCTGCAAAGAGCCAGGGGCTTGAAGGGTGGGGTACAGACCTCTGGGCCCCTGCGTGGCTTGGTGGGCTGGGTCTTGGGGTGTATGCAGGGTAGAGGGGAGCAGGGTACATGCAGAGATGTACAGGAACAGGCGTGGGTGTATACATGTGTGTGTGTTTGTATGGCTGGGGGGATGTACATGCACATGTATACACACATTTGTGGGAGGCAGGCATGCTGGGTGTTGGCGTGGGTGTGTGCACACGTGTACATTCACATGTATGTCTCCATGACACCAGGGAGGCTGGCACACCATGACTCTGCAAGCATCACCTGGGCATGGTGGGCACTTCTCTTATGCTGTGCCCCTCTGCTGGCCTGGGACTGGCCCCACTGCTTTGTGCCCTGCAGTGTGTGTGTGGCTCGCAGGCCTGTGGACCCGATCCTAGCAGAGGTCCCACATCCCTGTGGCCAAGGGACTGCACGCCCCACCTCCCCCCACAAACCCCAGACCCCTGCTTCTGGGGCCATGGAGAAGCTGGGCCTGCGCACGTACACACACACACACACACACACACACACACACACATGGCCCAGCCCCTCCAGGCGCTATCAGGCCTGGCCGCCTTATCTCACATTCCAGAGGCGCTGGTGCCCAGGCCCCCTTGCTAATTATGGGCATGGCCGTGCTGCGGCCACCCTGCACACCCTCCACCCCCCAGCACCCGCAGTGGCACCATGGCGTCTGTCAGCTCGTCCTCCACCTACCGCTCGGAGCAGATCAGCACCTACAGCAAGAGCGGGGCCCCCGCGGAGCCCTGCCGTGAGCCGCGGGGTCCCTTCACTTCCCGGCCCCGGGATGCCTACAGCTATGCAGGTAGAGGTGCATCTGGGCCAGGGACAGCCAGGCTGGGGAGGGGGCAGGCAATGGTGGGGCAAGGGTGAAAGCCTACTACTGCTACTGGCACCCAGCACGGGTGGTGGGGATGGGCCCCATGGAGCCTGGCCAGCCCCAGCCCAGCACAGGACTGGCCTCAAGCCCTATAGCTACCCCCGGTATCCCCGGTGGGGCAGAGCTCCCCTGTCAGGCAGCCGCACCCCACACTGGCCATGCTCCTTCAGAGCAGAGCCCGGTGGTGGCACTACTGCGGGGTGACCTGACAGCAGCCGGTGCCACAGCCCAGGGACCAGCCCCAGGCACTGGGCCAGGGACAGGAAGGCTGGCACCCCACTGTTTCCACACTAGGGCAGGATGGCCCTGCTGCACCCAACTGGCCTGCTGTTCACCCACTGCCCCAGAGACTGCATAGAAGCCTCACTGCACTCTTGAATCTCCACTGAGCTGCATTATGCCCCGTGCCCCCCCCCCCGCCGCCCCCCTCAATGTTCACTGCAGCTTCATGGCACCCACTGCACCTGAGCCTTCCCTGCATCCTCAGTGCACCCAAAGACACTCACCACCACACACCTGAATGTTCACTGCATTTTCATGGCACCCAGTGGACCCCCCCCACTGCACCCCTGAATGTCCACCATAGCCTCACAGCACCCAGTGACCCCCTGATTCTTCACTGCCTCCTCAGTGTACCCAGTGACCCCCCAACCACACCTGAATGTTCACTGCATTCTCACAGCATCCAGTGACTCTCACTGCACCCCTGCATGTCCAGTGCAGCCACACCATACCCAGTGGACTCCCCCCACTCACCCATACCCCGGAATGTTCACTACATCCTCATGGCTCCCCGTGACCACCCCACTGCAACCCTGAATGTCCACTGCAGCCTCATGGCACTCAGTGACCCCCACCCCTGCACTGCTGAATATTCACTGCAGCCTCACTGCACCCAGTGACCCCCCAACCCCCACTACGCAAGGCCTGGCAAGCCCCAGCAGCTGGGGCATCTCGCGGCAGCCCCGTACTCGTGGGCTGCATTCCTATCTGCCCACCACGCTCTGCCCAGGGTCCCCCGCAGGCCTGCGCCCCCTCGGCCTGGGCAGCAGCGTGCACGCGGGCGGCGACTGCTACCAGGTGATGGCTGACGTGAGCCAGTTCGAGCCGCAGGATGTCGTGGTGACCACGTCCAACTGCCAGGTCGTCATCCGGGCTGAGAAGGTGAGCGGGGCAGTGGGACAACAGGGACCAGAGGAGCTGGCAGACCCCACTCCTTCCCCTCTATTCAGGACTCTTGCTCCCCACCTCCACAGTGCCCCCTGCTTTCTCACGGAGGTGAGGTCCTTCATGTCCCCACAGGTGGCAGAGGATGGTACTGTCTCCAACACGTTCACCCACAAGTGCCAGCTGCCCGAGGACATAGACCCGCTGTCCGTCAGCTGCTCCCTCACAGATGCCGGCACCCTGGTCATCACCGCCATGCGCCGGGCTGGCTGGGACCTGCCGCCCCTGTACCGCAGCGAGCTCCAGTTCTGAGTGCCGGGGGGCGGCCACCAGCCACATCCCAGTATGCACTGGGCCTTGGGCACCATGGCTCAGGGAGGACTGGTGCAGGCTGGTTGGGGAGGGGTCTCTGGGCCAGGGGAGCATCTCCAGGGCCCAGACTCCTGGGTCTGTGTGCTGCCTGCTGTGCCATTGTCATGAATAAAGGCTGTCCTCAGTGCCATGCGTGATGAGCAGGGGAGGACAGGGGCTGCTGCTAGTTGTTGGGTGGGGGCACTGCACGGGCAGCTGGGGCAGGGCCCAGTGCCCTCTGTGGAGATAGCAGCTGGCCCACGTGCTTAGCCTGGGGGACAGGCAGGGCTGGCTGAGCTGGGAGGGAGGCCAGGGCTAGATGTGCAGGGGGCTGGGAATGAGGGAAACCACTGCCTGGACACCTTCCCCTATCCCACAAAGCCCCAGCTGCTGAACTGCAGGGGTGCATGTGCACATACGTGTGTGCAAGTGTTTGTGTGTGTGCAGTGCAGGTGGCAGGGGCCTGTGTGCCAGTGCAGTCCTGCCTGGGGCTGAGTCACCTCCCGTGGCAGGAGGGAGGAAGACAGGTAGTGGCTGGAGCCCTGCATCAGTGCTGGGGTGGAGGCTGCAAACAGAGGGGCACGACCTCTGCCCCACAGTGGTCGCCTGGTGCAGGTGCAGCCCCCAGATGCAGGGTGGCATGGTGCCCATCCTGGCTGTGGCCATGGCCCCCCTGCTGCCTTGGGTATGCAGCCAGGGGGCATCTCCTCACTCTAGTTATAAAGTCCTTTTATTAAATTAATATAAAAATCTCTGTATTTACATCCTGGCACTGGCAGGGCCCAGCCAGACCCGGGCATGGACCCGCCGGGACCTCACGCTGGGCACTGCAGGGGGAGGAGGATGAGAGCACCCCTGGATGGGGGCTCAGAGCAGCTGGAGAGGGGGGCCCAGCTGCCCCTCCCCCATGCTACCAGGCCTGCCGTGCATTGTGCATGGGTCTGCGGGCAGGGCCGTGATTGCCTGGCGATTGAGCAGGATGGAGCAGGAGGGAGGGCACTGGGGGCAGAGCTGGGGGGTAGTGGGGCAGGAGTAAAGGGCACCATTGAGGCTGGGGGTGCCCAGGGCTGGGCTGGGGCCGGGTGAGTGAGGAGAATCCAGGTCTGGCTGTGGACAAGATGCCCCTGCAGAGGGGACTGGGCTGGATGCCCAGGCAGGGTTCTTCTCCCCTGCCCCCCGCAGCCAAGCCCTGGAGCCGGGTCCACTCAGCTCTTCCTCTAGCAGCGGGTGCTGCAGGGGGGCCGTGGCTTTCTCTGGGGTCT